CCTGACTGGTCGGGCGCGTGCGAGGGGCCGCGCTCCAATCACGGTCCGGCGCATCGCTCAAGTTTCGTGATGCTCGCCGTCTGTTGGGCGAGTTCTGTGTAAATGTGATGGCCAATCCAGTTCACCATCACCGTTTGAATGCTCAAACAGTCAACCTATTCGTCTCATCCCGTTTGTTGCGTGCGCGTCGCAATCACATCTCTCTCTTCCCTTCATCAGTCTGTGACTCACCCATGGGAAATTATCGGTGATGTGGTGGATGCGAAAAAAGAAGAAGGTTTCCGTCGGTCGCAGACTTTACTCTGCATTTTGCACACCGCGATTTCCCCTTCCTCATGCACACTCATGCAAGCCAAACGCAGATTTCTTGGTTATCGCTGCATGCGCCGGCACCCCTTCAGTGCTTTCACCTCTCTTTTTACCCCCCCCCCCCCCGGCTCTACTCCCGCTGCATCAAATCCGATAGCGGGCCGCCATGAGCGCCGTAATGCACACACCACAACCCCCAGCTGTTCCCCCCATCCCGCTCTTCCGCGTTAGGGTTGCAGGAAGGACATCCAAAATACATGTACCTCGCCTTACGTGCGCTACCGGCTACGCAGGCATGGGGAATCCGAAATAAGGTATGCGGTGTGTCTCTGCCGTGCGGTACCGCCGTGACACCGTGACAGACGTCCAGTGCCAACCCAAGCTGAAGGTTGGGGGGCGGGGGGGTGCTTGGGTGCCTCCCCGATTCGCCCGCGATCGTGCAGCTTGCATCCCGAAGAGAAAAAAAAAAAAGAAAAGGGCAAAGAGAATCAAAGGAAAAGCAAGAGCAAACGCCCAGAAGCATCGCAAGCTGAAACCGCATCCCTTTAGAAAGAAACTAAGCACCCCTGTCGAGTTCAGGTTTGGGTTCTGCCACCCCTCTATCCATCCATCGAATACTTACCTCTTCAACTCAGCTGCATACGGCACCCGTGTTCACCGCTCTCGATATAATCACAAAATCTTTTCGAATACATATGACAATATTACGGATATAAATGCAGAGAATGACCGATGCGTCTCATTCTGCGCACTTGTCTGAGGATCCTTGGCATCGAAGAATGAAGTGTCTCTCGGGCTCTCCATCAGGTTGTCTCATTACACACATCCGCCAGGGGGGAAAGAAGAATCACCCAAGACAAACCTGACCTAGATTCCTAGACAGCAAAAAAGCAAGGCGAGAACAAGACAGCTCCATTCCAAACCATTTCAGAAGTCTAGACAATTTGGGGCCCTGGAGGGTCCTGTTTGCGACAACAAACCCCTGTCACGGCCGCCAACTGGCAGATGCACCACTGCGTTGTCTCCGATCGAGTACGCCCAGATCGTCAGGGGAACGGGACCCCATCGTCAGGCGGCTGCACTTTGCTTCTCTCTCTTTGCTATCCGCTCTTTTGTGCTACGATGAGTGACGTGTTGTCTACGACGTATGGGGATAGGTATGGGGCGCCGTTGAGGGCGTTACGCATCGACCACACTCAAAGTCGTTTGCTTTTGGGACGAACGTTGGCATGATGCAGGATGGAGCCACCGCCTTTTTCTTTCTGTCCACCGCCTAGAAAGAAAGCCTCGCCTTGATGTGGGCTGACCTTCGGCGTCTGATGTTTCTCGCAACTGATAGTAGTCTTCGTGTTACTTTGAGGTCCTATCATGGTGTTGTACCTGAGCGTGCCGTAAGTTTGATACGGATGGCGCTCTGAGGCATGTATGGCGGTTAGGCACAATGTCCGCAAACGCCATTTTCCCCTGAGCTGAAAGTGAAGCCGGAATTCAGTATACTCCTGTGAACAGCCCTTGTGAGGCATACATGCCAACCATCGAGATCTTTCCATCCGTCTCCCTCCGTATCCGTCAAAAGCAACATGGTATACTTCTGAAACCGAGAAATCTAACGGTGATGCTCCATCCGCATACGGTCCCTAACCCTGGCCTCCTCTCGCGTGGGAACTCCCCTCCGACATCCGCGGCGGTTGTCAAACTTACATGAACCGCACGCAGCTCACCGCCGATCACTGATCAATGCCCTGCCTGTGGACCGCTTCATCGGGCCGCGTCAATGTTCCCACTTATCAAAACCCCGGAAGGAGACGTTGCGTTCTGCATCTGGCCCCGGCGTGAGAGACACACTCGAACGGTCCCGCGTTGGTCCGTGTGTTCGGCGCCGTGTGGCCCGTGACTTGCCTATTCGGGATATGGGAAGTCGGGGGACTGGGCTACTCGGGATGATCTGCAAACGATCTGTTGACACAAACTGAGTCAGTTCACCATAAGTCATGGCACATGACAGGTGGTTTTCGTATGTTTTGCTGTTGCATAGTCAACTCCAAAGAACAAGAACGTGCAGCTTCTTCTCACTTTTCACATCATGAACGAGACAGGGCTGCTTGAAACTTCCTTACTGTAACCGTTTTCCACTGTTGCGAAACAAAACCATCTGGAAGATGCTAATCTCTATAATAGACGCGGAGGCTCATGAACGAGAGACAAGAAGATGAATTACATGGAACCATGCCGAGTGTCCTGGGACCACCCAGTCTTTTTCACAGTCATTATTTTCGGGAATCATACCATCCTCCCATTCTCAACCCAGAGAAACACCCAACTGTGTGTGCCGCTACTGCTTTACAGAGGCAAAGTCTCCTGTGCCGCGGAGACGGAACCGTTATTGACGGCAGCGCGGTGTCCGCGGGCAATGTATCCGTAGGCCGGGTAGTAGGTGTCGAGCCAGGAAAACAGCTCGAGGGCGCCGGGGGTGTTGCGCCAGTCGCGCATGAGGTCGAGGGAGATGGAGAAGAGGGAGACGACCTGGACGCCGGCGGCGGCCATGCGGTCGTTGGAGACGTCGCGGATGAGCTCGGTGGTGGTGCCCGAGGCCTCAACGTTGGCCCAGACGGAGTAGCCCTCGGCGCGGAGCGATAAGGCGAGGAAGGTGGTGCAGACGTCCGTGGTGATGCCCGCGAGGATGATTTGCGACTTGTTGGCGGCGCGGACGGCGTCGCGGAAGTCGGCGTTGTCCCAGGCGTCGACCTCGCCGTTGCGCTTGATCAGGGGCGCGGTGGGGTGCATGTCGAGGATCTCCTGGGGGAGGGGGCCGTTGGGACCTGTTTTTGTTTGTTTGTCAGGAGTCTGAAAGCAACAGGATGGGTTCAGGGACTCGTACCGGTCTCGGCAGAGGTGGTCAGGACGACGGGGAGGTCAAAGACCTTGGCCAGGGAACTGTGAGCGAGCATCGAGTTGCGGTAGAGCGTGGGATCGAAGTCGCGAGCGAGGTTGAAGAGACCTTCCTGCATGTCTACAACGAGCAGCATCGAGTCGTTCTTGTTGAGCCTCTCCCAGGGGACGGCTTTGGGTCATGTTAGTAAAGCTGTGCTGTGTCCAGAGAGACTTGAGATCAAGCCATTGAGTGAGAACCTTACCATCAGCGTTGGCAACGGCGGAGAAGAGCGCCGAGACGGCGAAAGTCATGGAGAACTTCATCTTGAAAGAGAATGTCTTGAAGGCTGGTCCTTTGGAGAGCTGGTTGAGTATTTGAGATGAAGGAGACTGTTTTTGAATTGTCTGCTGGATGAGGATGAAAGGAAAAGATGATGAGAGGCAAGATCCTTCTCTCTTCTTATACAGAGTTCTGACGATACGCAGTGGAAGCAAAAACGCCCTCGAGCGAGAGAAACGTTAGTAGCCAAAGTCCCTCATCTCGGAGTAGACTCCGTTCAGTCGGCATCGTGGACAATGCGTGACTGTCAATGACCAAGCCAAGTACATTATCGACATGTGGGGTTTCCAATAGCTCCGAATCCCATCAGTATAGGGAACACCTCCGAATCGTGAGTATGCAAGATGCAGGGCATCGTCAAAGCCTTGCCCGTCCCTCCTTGACAAGAAATTTCCCCATTAGGAAATATGCTGAAGTTGACGATGGGAAAAGGCGCATAGCTTTCGACAAGCATTCGGTAACCAGAATGTTGGATGTTAGTAAGCTCCCCTGGTTCATCCAATACCACAGCGAACCCATCAAGCCTCTTCGGTAGTTTGCGATGTTTGTCATTGGGTGGTTCACGCTGACCGAGCGGCCCTGGGTTGCTTCGAGGTGGAACTCCGCTCGGTGCGACCCACATCCGCATATTGAAATTGCGGAGAAAGGTGAGCATTGCCGTTCTTCTCTGTAAATCCGGTCTCTATCATGGAATTGGTCTCCCTTTCGAGATCTCGTTGCTGGGAGCCTGGAGAGTAGTCGATGCGTGGGCTTGACTAAGCTCGACAAATCCGACGTGACTGATGGAGACCCTACACATAGCAGGCCGGTAGGCAGGGTTAGCAAAGCATCGAGTAAGATAGTTGAGCTGCAGAATCTCATTTCCCCAGCCCCGCCGACGCAAAGATGCAGAGTATGACGTCCTGCCTACTTGGCGATGGGAAGACGGGGCAGATGTTGGCGGCTTATCTAAGTACCATGTCGGTATTTGATAAGGCGTTGGCTTTGCTTGGTGAGATGCGTCCCGCTCCGTTGTGGAGACCATCGGAACCGATGCTGCCATGTCAGAGTGGAGGCGCCGATTCCTAAGCTGAGATTGTGCGTGTGTCAGCACCCAGCTTTGCACGTGGGAGCTGTTTCTGTTGGAAGAAAGCATCACTGGGGTTTCTTAAATCCCTACGGTGAGATATCGGTTTCCTCAAGATCTCTTGAATATCAGAAGTAGCGGTACTTACCTCTCCTTAGACATACTACTTAGGTCCTGGGCTGCGCGACATGGTTCAGACGTCATTTGAATATGTTAAACAGGCTCAAATGAGACGTGGTGGTCGTGAACTATGTTAACAGGGAGGATTGGCTGGAAAGGGGTTTGTTGTTGCACAAGTTAATTTTCGTCATCGAAATCGAGAGCATACCGAATCAACAGCTCGAAAAACTGATGATGATGAGTCAGACAATCCACACAGGACAGAGATCAAGCTCAACATCAAAAGGTATCTATCTACGCTTCGGTATGCTCGGCATCAACACCCCTATATTCGAAGAACTTGTTACACTCAGGGTCCTCGATGAGCGCCTGAGCCAGTTCCTTCTCATACATGATGGCAATCTGCGGGCCCTCATCTGACTCAGGCGTCGGATCCCGAGGCGGGTAGACAAGAACTCCGCTCTCAGAAATTCGACCCATCAGATATCGATAAGTCGCCGGCTTCCCGAAGCCAAAGTCTGCCGAAGGAATGTTGGCGTGACGGTGGTCTACCACAATGGTCGACATGGGCGGATGCGAATCGATCCTCGAGTTGAGACTCGACTTCACGCGGACCGTCGCCACCATCTTGAGCGTTTCGTTGAGACTCTCTTGTGTCACGCTGTCCGTCAACTGGCGTATGTAGCGTGCTATGCGCCAGAACGGCCAGTCTGATATGACCTCCGATACCGTGGGTTGTTCCACGGGTGCGGTAGTCGACATGGCCACGTACATGATGTTTTGCTGAGTACGAGCGGGCACCTCTGGGCTATGTAGACGTCGACGCATGTCAATGGTCTCGCACCAGAAGAGTTTTGAATCTGGAGGAGTTTTGAACACCGGGGCTCGAAGACGTGTCATGTGCCGCCACATGAAGGCGGAAAAGGCGTCGTAAGTCGAGATCCATGTACCGTCCTCGGGCTTTGCAAGCTCTTTCAGCTGAGCGGTTTTGCTCTTTGGTAGATGGAAGAGAAGGCAGATACCGACTTTGTGGCCTGGGTGTCTATCAGGTGGTGGTGGCCCGTCAACTTTCTCCTCCTCCGCAGGCTCGGGCTTGAGAAGGCGAGAGACATCATTGCAGGCCGGGTCCCATGAAGGGTAAGGAGTGCCATTGCTGAACGCGGAACAGTTCTCGGCCAGCTGGTGGATGAAGCCAGCCCAAGCCATGACGTCTTGGGAGTAATGATGGTGGTGAGTGCTGAAGACGAGCCCGCCCCGGACGAAGTTCGCCTTGAAGCCCGCCGTGACAGGACTCTGCTCCGGAGTCGCCTCGGGCCTCTCGCCGTAGGTCATCGGCGACACAGCCCAGAGCCTGAGGTCACCAAGGGATACGGCGCTAAAGTTGGCTTTTTCGATGTCGTCGAAGGACGGATACTTGTCGGCATCCTCTGGGGCATCAAGCCATTGAACGACGAAGCGGACGGTTGAGTCCTTTCATTTGGTGAAGGAGTAGTCGCCCCAAGGGTCTTTCTCGATTCTTCCGTTCGACTGGCGGACCTGAGCAACCGTCCTCTCGAGACCTGCTTTCAGAACTTCGACCACTCTGGGTTTGGCGGCATCGTCTAGGCGGAAGAATACGGCGTAGTGGTTATATGTTTGGCACGTCAAGTAATCTAGGGTCGAGACTCGGAATCTCTCCACTTCTGCGTCGTTCTCCCAACCGTGAGGGTGAAGATCGTAGACCTCTTCTTTTTGGCATGATTAAAAAAATTCTGTATTGAGGTGATTTGGAGGGAGCTGCAGGTTTTCGGACTCGAATATCGCAAAATGGCAAAACACGTAGAACCTAGTGGACGGGGTCGTCTTATGCCGCATTAGATTGCACTACGACCGTATCGGAAAAGACTCCTTCACCCTGGCACCTTCCCCAGGCCCCTCAGAACATTCTTCGATCTGTTAATCGCTGATTGGAGGATGCAACGAGCAGTATTCCCGATTCGGTGGGTTAGGTTGTGAACCAACAGCTCGCCAAGGACTCTGTTATATTCGTCGGGTGTAAAGAACCCCATTTGAGCCATAGCCTACATCTCCATACTTGCAAATACCATTTCCCATGAATTTGGCTTCAAGCATGGGTTTTTTTTCCATGTCATGTGTCCATTCATAAGGCAGAAAAGTGGCTATCAGTATCTGCTAGTCGAAATGCACGAGGCAATTCTTGTACCAACGAGATGGTGACTGTGTGGAAATACAATTTTAGGGTATTCTGCACCGAATCCCAATAGAACTCACAGTCTCAGCCCCCTAAACATTCAGAAAGAGTGAAAATCTCATGTGTTTATCCGTACCAAATCAGCATGCCGGTCTTTATGGTTTCCGTGGCTGTGCCCAGGAGAGCCATGACAACCGCTAGCTGTGGTAATCGAACGCTATCTCATCGTATCATCATATAACTCTATATTAATCTCAATTGTATGCAATCGGGAAGATAAATATCCAGAGACGCAATTCACGCGTGGGTATGTGAACAAAGTCGGAACTTCAGATGTTGAGTCCGTGACGTGAAATGGCCCCTCATAGGCGACCGACACCATTACTTGAGCCTCATACTCACTTGAGAGCTGTGGTCGTTCGCCTATCACGTATCCAGAGACTATATAAAAATCGAGATCAAATTCATATGTGAGTCATTCTTTAAGCCCGATCGAAGCTTGCGGCAACGTATTCCTGGCTTGGAACCTATTCGGTATTGTAAAGTTGACCAAGCCTTTGATATCTGATATCCTATCTAGCTCCTTTATTTGTAGTATTTTAGCCCAATTTTTTTTCTTAAGATAAGCCATGGAAGCCTTAAACTTCAAAAAGTATGGCTGCTTTCTTGTAAAAAGTTGCCATGTCTATCATAACATTCAGGTTCATCGTCTACGTGCCTGGTTGCTGCTAAATATGAAAGACCGGGACCACCGTCGACCACCTCACTGCCTGGTCAACCCATCTCTCCTTCCCTCTTCCTGGTTCCTTCTGTTTCTTGACTGAAGCACGAAAAACTTTTCCCTCTTTATATTTCAATTCACTTGCACTCCTCACTTAAATCCATCCACACGCAAGTGAGCCTCAAAACTTCTTCATCCCCCACAATCACGCGCTCTTATCCGCAAAACACTCGCTTCTGCAACATTCAACAAGTCACAAAGATAACAGTTAGTCTTTCTCTAACAAATCATGTTTTATTTCTCAAAATTCTGATAAATTTTAGTCTCAATACCACGGCGCCACACCAAGAACCTTCACCATACTAGGCACCTGACACAGTATGTTCTAACCGATCATTACTTCCACAGTGAACTTATCAAGCTGACCAAAATGTTTCAGAAGAACATCATGGCTGACCAGAACCTTCCCGAGATGTCCGCCTCCGATGTCAACTTCATGTGTCACGTCTTCATGCATATGACTGAAAAGCCGGTCATTGACTGGAACAGCTTCGCGGTGGCCGCTGGCTTCAAGAGCGGGGGTGTCGCTCGTGTACGTTCGCGTTCCCCTTGACAAAAGTACCTATGTAGTCACCATGTGCTAACACTTTGATTTTCAGACTCGCTGGGGCCAGATCAAGCGCAAGTTCACCCCGGCTAACCAGGCCACCTCCAAGAAGAAGGCCGCGCAGGCTTCTACCAGCACTCCGGCTTCTAGCTCCAAGGTTAAAAAGCCCACTGGACGAGTCGGCGCCAAGGGCACCAAGGGCAAGAAGATTGTCAAGCACGAGGAGGACGAGGACGAGGATGGTGATGACAAGGCTATCATCAAGACCAAGGAAGAAGAATTTGACATCTAAGAAGACTTCTCGACTACCAAATCTGCCGAGAACAAGTGGATGTTCAGGAACGGATATCTTTGGAGAGATGGCTCCTAAGCATGACCTATACGATATGTCTACGGCGTCAGGATAGTCTGGGGCTAGCCTAGCTAAGAACTCAATACGATCTCGAGCCAACAGGAATCCCGCCACCTTCTTCATCGTGACTTCCGGGAACTTCATGCCCATACTTCACTCGAGTAACATCTGTCAATGTAAGGGTTTACGCTTCATGACTTGCCTGATACGTAGGATGAGAAATTCTGCGATACATAGAAGCTACTGCCCGCCACACTTGAGCATGCCCTGGCCTAATCAAGCCTCGACACATCAATAAGGAGAATCGAGGTTCATCAAAACAACCTCAGAGCAACTTATAGTGAGGTTCTTCAGTTGTTTGTCCTTTTCTCTTCGTAACTGTCAGTTTCCTTTGCTCTTTCTGTCTCTCCTCATCCCCATTGTTCTCTATTTTTCCACAGTTCCGTGGGTTCTCATTATCACCAGCCTGCCTCGGTAGCCTAACCCGACGGAACGTTGACTGATCTTATCCCACCCGGCGTCGGCGAACCAGCCTCACAAGGCGGGTACTCCAAGTGAGGGCACCTTCTCGACTGATGGACAGGTGCCTATGGGGGACTCAAAACCCCTTCTACTGAAGCTGAAGCCGAAAATTTCTTTCTTCCTTCTTTACACATTTTTCTCAGGTCACTCAGAAGACGCATAGGCAACTCGCGAAACCGAGCATTACTCTCCACATCGATATCTTTATATCATTAGAAGCTATCGTACGTTACTTGACTTTCAAATACCTCATACTCGAGAAAACTTCACCCAAGATATTTTACTGACTTGAGCTAGCATCATGGCCCCCAAGAAGTCCACTGCTACCGAGGGCGAGTCCGCCACCCTCATCCTCACGGACACCGAGACCAAGTTCGTCAAGGCTGTTTTTGACAGCACGAACACGCGCCCTGACATCGACTATGACAACGTCGCGGGCATCATGGGCTTGGCCAATGGCAAGAGTGCCAGAGACCGCCTTCGTATCATTTCGAAGAAGCATGGTTGGTCCGCCACTGACGGCTCCAGCGGTGTCAGCCCTGCCAAGAAGCCTGTCGGAGTGAAGAAGACGCCCATCAAGAAGAAGGGCATTGCCCAGAGCAAGAAGAAGGTGAGTGGCACAACTATGTTTTTGCAATTCATTCCCCAGAACTTTCTTTTCTTTCATTTCCCGGAATACGAAATCTATCATGGATGCTGACAATTCAACAGACTACCAAAAAGAACGAGTCCTCCGGCTCCGACGTCGACGAGGACATCTCGGGCAAGCTCGAGTCCGACACCGATGGCGAAGCTGCTGCCAAGGCGGAGCTCAACAACCCCGACAGCGACTCTGACTGAGCGACTTCGCGATGACTGATCTCCGTCTTTCAGTCAGGGCTCAGCAGAAAAGGGGTACGAAGACGGCGAATTCTCTGCATATGGTCTTGGAGCGGAAAATATTCAGATTGGGGTTGGGTGATAGCAGGCTATGCTAGCTTGAGCAACTTAATTACAACTCATTTCTCATTTCATAAGCTGTGTCTGTATTGCAAACATAATGTCATCGTGAAGCCACTCTACTTGCCCTCCATGTTCTTAGTTTTCTAAAGCTAAGCCTGATTTATCTGGGTCTAGACATTGTCTTTAGGTTTAGGAATAGTCCATCAAGCAGGACATGGTCCAAACGGCCATCCCTTGGGATTATCCTAAGATCTAGATTGTTCTTTCCTGTTCTTTCTGTAGCTCTCGCCTTATTTTCTGAATAACGTCTGATCATTGTGTTGTCGTCTTGTCTTCTTTTCGTCCAAATTTCTCTCGCCATTTTTTTGAATTCCTTTGACCAACTGCCTTGTTTCTCGTCACCTTTTGAACCACATAGTCCTAATTCTTGTCTAGGTAGATGGGTAGGTAGCACTCGCTTCCTCGTCTCGTTATTACCATTCTGTCTAGTCTTCTTTTCGACTTAGGTGCCCTCTCCATTCTTGCTTAGGCCCTTCAACCACTTGACCAGTCTGCCTCATTCATGATTTGAAATACTTGTGACTGCCTCTTGTCTCAGGTGTATAGCTCTCGCCGTTTAGTCTACGAGTCAAATGTGAAGCCAAACTGCTCCCATTATCACAGTGAAGTTCCTTCAGCCAGCTACCGGGTCTGTCACATTCTGCATTCGTTGTCTCTGCCTCTTGTCCGGGTAGCTCTCGCCTTATCACCTGATCATTGTGCCGTCGTCCAGTATCCTGCCTTTCGTCCAGACTGTTCTCGCCTTTCGTCCAAACTGCCATCGTCTTTCGTCAAAACTGCCCACTTCCTGTCCGGACTGCTCCCGCTATATTGATAAGAGCCTTCAAGCACCTGTCTGACCTGTCCACATCTTGAACCAATTGTACCTGCCTCATCTCCTGGGCTCTTGCCAATCCCAGTCCATCAGAGACCAAGCTAGACTATTTGAGCCAGCCTCTCACCAGAACTTCTCACCAACCCAACTCTTCTTCACCACAACCCCTCAACCTTCCAGCTTTTGGGCCTTGCTTTCAGCCTTCGTCTTCATATATCACTACTCAGACTTAACTTCTTCCAACATTACTCATACCCAACAACTTCTACTCTACTCAAGATGGCTTCTGTCGGAACCGATGCTGAGGGCCAGGTTACCTTCCTTGTTCACTGCATCAAGCATTCTTCCGGTGGAAAGGTACGTCCCAAATTGCTTGGCTGTATTCCGAGACAAAAAGTATCTAACAAGAACAGATTGACTTTCAAGCTGTTGCTACAGATTGCAACATCGCTTCCAAGGCCGCTGCGTAAGTCAATCTTCTTCCCACACTCCTAGTCAAGTTTTCGACAGGAACTAGCTAACTTGACATGCCTTCCAGTGCCAAGCGGTTCGAGCGCATCCTCAAGCCTCATGGCATGAAAACTAGCGACTTGTCCAAGACTGGCCCCATCGGCAGTGCTGCCTCTCCTGGTGGCAGCAGCGCCAGCCCCAAGACCCCGGGCAAGGCCACGCCCAAGCCCAAGGGCAAGCGCGCTCTCACCGAGACTCCCACCAAGGAGACGAAGCGCGTCAAGCTGGCCAACCACCCGGCTGTCTCGTCCTACAATGACGAGGACGATGCGGAGAATGTGCCTCAGTTCAAGGTCAAGGACGATCCCGAGGCCTCTGGCACTGACTCGGCCAACGGTTCGTACAACGGTATCCCCCGATGCCGCGATGACGATGACGACGACCTGCAACTTCTCTACGTTGTGGAGAAGACGAGCGATTGCCCGATTCACGATTGCGGCGGATATCGAAGTCCTCCCTCCACGTCCGTTTCGAGCGATACTAATACCGAGGGTTCAATGCAGATCATGCCAAGGCCGACGAGCATGCCGAGATTTAGCGACGTGCCAGCTTGCTACCATGGCTGGGGATTCCTACCAGAGATGCCAGTCTACGCATGGCCAGATATGCGCGCGATACATGGGGAGCTAGAAGCAGCACAGTTAGTCGGGATATGTGAGTAGTTCTTACGCAGTTCTTCCAAGACTTTGCTAATAAATTCTAAATAAGACCGGAGATTGGCCCTCTACGGGGACGATGTTGCCGTCATGGCTCACTAGAATGCTGGCAGGGATGGCTCGTACATGGGGAGTGGAAGTGATTAGGGTCAATTAGAGACTCGAGAAATAGAACGAGTGGCTTTCACTTCCTTCGCAACGCAATGATCAACACGCAGGCTTTGTGAGACCCGGGAATGGTCCGCGCCGTTGAAGGTTCCGTCATGGCGCTGCCTGATTGGGCAAGTGGGACTGTCTCGGCAACGGTCGGCAGGGGTCATCCCACTTTCTCCGGAGCATTTGGGGCTCAATTTCAACGACACCTTGAATTCATGTGTAGAAACAGCCTCCTTGTGACCTTTGTGACTTCCAGATTCATCGCACCGAATGTTTGTATTGTGTTATGCTTCAAATGAACCTAATGGATAATGTTTTGAGTCTGTCATGTGGAACATGATGCTTCCCAATTTCCTTCGTCGCATGCCTTGTTTGCCGTCCCAGGTCTTCTGGCCTTCAGACTGAGCTGCTTCTGCGGGCGCGACGGGCATCTTGCAAGTGAGTGATATTTAAATAATCATTTGGCAAGGCCAAGAAGGATCAATAATTCCAAGTCCGTGACTCCTGCTCATTTACATCCTGATGATTTCGTTTACCTCTAGGGCATCTACTATCTTCCACTGATGCCAGCCAGCTTCGCTTCACATGGTCTGCATCCCTACAATTGAGAGAACAGGGAACCCTCGTATTGCCAGTTGAATCTTCTGGATGCAAGATATCCATAGTAGCGTGATAAGCCACCAAGAGATTCGAGCACGTTGGCTTCCAGCATCTTCGGGCGGTCACAAAGGCAACACAGATAGGTAGGCATACATGAGGCAGGTGCATTTCCCTCCGCACCTCCCTCCTTCCTTCCCAGTTCCATTTCCAGGAAACACCTTACGCCCTCTCGGATAAACCTAAGGCCAACCGGAGCATCTCATGCTCACTTGCACCCGTGGATTTTTTGCCTGACCTCTCAGTCCGGAGACCCTGCAGCCAACCAGAGTGCTCCGTCCACACTTCACCTTCTCATCGCACCTTCCTCCCATCTTCTTCCGACCTCACCTCCTTCCCTCACCTCACCAAGCAGCAAACTTTTTTCGACCAGCTCAGCCGAGAGCACACAAACAGCTGCCCCCAAAAATTTCCGGCTTTCCTCTGGGTGGGCCATACACGCAAATCTTGTTTCTCTTCCCTCCCACAACCTTCGCACCGAAGTTGTCTTTTTCTTCCCTTCTTCATCGCGGCACCCGTCCCATATTACAGACGAGCGATTGACCGAAACTCTTTTTCGTTCAATCCATCAAACGACAAGCAAAGCATCTCGCTGCCATTGAAGAAGAAGTATTTCTTCCCTTCTACATCTCCAGCTTCTGGACCCATTAGTATGTATTGTGTCGGCCGCGGCCTCTTTCGCTTCTTTTTTTTTCTTCCCATCTCAGGTCGCGAGGTTTGGACAAATAACTGACCACCCTAGCAGACGGAGTCATCAAACTCTTCCATCCTTCATTGCGCGACTGCAATTACGACGCCAATTCATCGCGACGCAATGTCTGCCTCACCGCTCTCACCTGGTGCCGAGATGGGCAATCATTGGCAGCTCTCGTCTGGCGCTTCGTCGCCCCGATCCGACACTTCGAGCAACACCAACAGCTTGTTCTCTTCGCCTGATTCGCCTGCCGACACAGAGCTCTCATTCCCCAGCCTTGGAGCCAATGATGCCAAGGAGCTTACTACCGCAGCTCACCACGGCATTGCCGTGATGCCGAGTTTTGCGAACCATGTCCTTGTAGGAAATAAGGCATACGCACCGGGTCAAATCCGGGTGATGGCCGATGTTCTCCTCCGGGCACGCAAGACAGGAGAGTTTCCCACGAGCACTGCAACAACCGAAGACCCTCAAAGCATCATCGAGGACTGTCAGCATCTTCAGCGCTTGCGCGACATCAGAGGTGACCTTTCCCAGCCACCGCCGGAGAAGTACGTCATTCTCAAGGTCGATATTGCTCGTCGCATCAAGGCTCGTGATGAAGCCTATGGAGCCCCAGCCAAATTACAAGAGGTGGATCACCGAGTTCAAAACTGGATGAGCTCAATCAACAAGGAAGCGCGCATGTTGGAGATTACACAGGCGGCACTTCAGCGCAAGGGCATCAACAACCCCACCCAAGACGACTTGGACGCCATCGCCGAGGAGTTTATGCAGATCGCGGAGCGCACTCTTCTTGACGTCGCCAACCCTTTGCGCATGAACACTACTCGACTTGCTGGCAACATTGATCGCTTCGATAGCCAGCTCGATGGACTGTCATCCATCAACGATGCAGTCAGTGCCTCCATGACGTCTCAAATCAACACTCTCAGCACCATGCTGGGTGCTCAAGCCAATACATTCAATGGCTCTGTCGGCATGCTAAACAAAGCACTCACGACCGTGACCACTGACCTGCATCAACTCTCCACCAACCTACCAGCAATCATTGCGGCTGCAGTTCAAGCTGCAGTCAAGGAGCAACTGTCTCCTCTTTCTCATCAGCACTTCCACGCCAAGCAACACCAATCCAACTACGATCAGCCCCCCGGATACGCTACAGCTACACGGATGCAACAATACCGAGCGACTGGCGGAGAGCACTTTGGCGGTGGCGCACGAGCTGTCGCTTCTGCAGTCCAAGTATCAGGACAAGAATCTGGACAAGAATCTGGACAGGCCTTACAAATGGGCGTGCAGCCCACGAAGTCCAGATTCAAGAGATTCTTTCGGGCCATTACTAGAAGAGGCCAGTCGAAGAAGGAAGCGGGTTCCAAGTAACGAAGCTCATGACGAGGCTTCAACATTCAGCTGTCCGACTTTGTGGCCAGCACTCCCCCCTCTGAGACGTACGCAACACATCCGATCACCAAGCCTTGGAAAGATGGAAGGCATGATGGGAGGAAATTGGTTTTGTAGATCACTGGTAGTTTGACTCGTACGTACCACGAGATTAATAATTCGTTTCACATTGAGCATCCTGTTCCATCGTTAGATCAACATTCTGTTGGATTTTTCGCCTTATTGCGTAACTCTATCGATATCATTCATACGCAGCAGTCTCAAAATTATTCGACTCTCCCACTCAAGTCAACAGGGAATGTCTAAGTAGCATGTGTCTCCTCTCCCGATAGAGTGGCTGTCGTATCTAAGAGCCACTGTGGGAGGAACGTGGTGTTTATCACTGCAATATTCGTGGCAGTAATGAAGATATCACCATAGTTCTTCGAAGGCGCCGTAAGGGCGTAGAGAAATAAGTGATGTATTGCAAAAGATACAACAGAAGCCAAACCGTCGCCCGCCAACGCCCGAGGGCCTTCCCACATCTTCAGCAACTGCCTAATTTTCAGGCTGTCTGGCAGGCCGTGACCGCGTCTCCCATACGCGTCTGCATCCCTCACCTTCTGTAACCCAAATAGTCCATAGGCATCTTCTACTTTTGCTCGAGGCAGACGCCTTTATACCTTACCAGACGAGGCGCCTCAAGTGGGGTCGATACTAACCTGCCCACCCACGGGCCCCAACCGCCCTTCTCTATCAATAGTATCGCGACCCTGACCTGCTCCCAACTTACTTTTCTTTCTTTCACCCACACCCATCCAAAAGTCGCATATTCTGACTTTCCCATTCTGTACCTTTCCGCGTCTCTCTTCCATTATTCACCATCAAACAACACACGCCTCTCTGAAGGTCACCTCAGACAAGGTCACCACGAGAACTGCCTACCGTCACCTCGTATATACCCTGCGATCGGAGCCGTTGCGATACGCCTGCTTTGTCTAGTGTAATCAATCAATTGGTCTGTTCAGATCCCAGTGGTAAGTAGTTCTTCATCTCCCCTTCGGTCTCCATCCTTTGCATTGCTTCTATCCCTCACCTTCTCTCACGCAAAGACTCTATCCCCTTTGAGACAACTTCTTCCCTCGCTGCATCTCTTTTTCATCTTACTTGTAACTTCTTTGTCTACCTAAATTTACCTCTGGTTTCTTTCTTTGCCTAAGAGGTGGCGTACAATCTGCTCCTATGCAGTGTGCTTCACTAAATGCGATCATTACTAACAATGCTACCTCCAGTCCCCAAAATGGCGCCCTCTAAGCAGTCAAAGGGCAAGCTTCCCGAAGTCCCAAAGGTGAAGCAGGACGCCAAAATTCGAAAGAGCAAGTCAGCGAGGAAGAATGCCTCTGTCAAGGAACATAAGGGCCCCAAGAAGGGTGTGAAGGTTACCGTTCGCCCAAAGAATCGGGCCCTAATTCAGTGGAGGAGTAAGTGAAATCATTTCCCTTGAAGACTAATTCCTGGTGACTGACTGCAGGCACAGAAGAAGAGCCCTTGCTCGTAACTCTACTTTGGGTACAGTATATTTGTGCCAGAGATCATGGCAAGATGCCCTGGGACGACGTCATCCCCCAGTGCTTCACCGGAGTTACGTCGACAGCCTTCACTCAGTTCCTAGCGCGAGAACGCAAGAGACTGCTCAAGATGGGGTACTGCGTTCCTCCTCTCCCTAGCCAGGCCAAGAGCTTGGAGAAGGATGCAAACATTCGCGGCTACATCAATGAGCCGACTCCAGAGAACGAAGATGCCGTCAGAACCATCAGTTTCCACGAGCCATTCCTCCAGCCCTGCCAGCAAGGTGAAAACTAGCAGTCGATAGCCAATGCAGCAGATGAAGGAGAATCGGATGGTGAGACTGAGGATGCCGTTATGGAGTACCAAGAGGATGAGGGTGACTTGAGCAGAGATGAAGCCCTCGAAAAGGTGAGTTTTGATACAAACTCTCCTCTGCAATCACTGACATTCAATAGGAGGGAGGGTCCTCCAAGAACCCTTTTCGCCAGAACCCTCATCAGATCCTTTCTCGATCCGGCAGTTCCCTTCACGGTGGTGAAGCTCGGCATGAGAACTCTCATCGTGAGCAGCAAGGTCTGCTGCTTCAACAAGATCAGCAAATCAACCAGGCCCAAGAACATGCCCGGGTCGATGCTCAGGCCAATGTCCAGGTTCAGCAGCAGCTCTTCGACCGGGTGCAATGTCCGAGTCAGCATATCGAGATGGAGCAAGCCAACCAGGAGTGGCCGGCACAGGTTCATCAGCTCAATGGAGGGAACCAGATGCAGCTATACACGCAGGCAATCGAAGCCTGGAAGAACGATGCACCTCCGAACGAGATACGAATTCACGTCGAGGGTCTCGCTCCCATGGCGTATTACCTACTTCAGGTGCCTGAGAGCGTGAGCCATCGCTTCAATCCGATATCCAGCACTGATACCATGCAGCCGATGCGGAATGAGAATGGCTATACGACATTCAGCATCCAAATCCCGGTCAACTTGGACGGCTATCTCAGTGGCCCCAATGTCCGAGAAGCTGGTTCTTCCATCGTTCACGTTGGCGACCCTGCCCCGGCAAATTTCCCTCTGGGCACTTCGTCACTCAATGAACCGGCTTGGGATTCTTGGAACGGTGGTTCTGGCGTTGGCGACGGTGTCAATGGTGACTTCTGTGATGGACATCATCAGCATGATAACGTTAATTGCTAAGCCGGAATTGTTGACTCGAGTCACATGGGCTACGAGCAGGGAATCGAGTTGAATGACATCAATTCGACGGCCATGGGCCCTAGCATGCACCAGTAGATAGATGGGCGGGTCACGAGCTGGAGCAGTCTTTGCCACTGAGGCAACATATAGCACTGGACTTGATATCAAGTACTCAAGAAACTCATGTTAGCGCTGGAGGTACCGCATCAAAATGAGAACAATTCCGTTGTGTGCGCAATTGATTTTGGCTCTGTCACCACCTTCCCCTTTCCCTTCTGTTTTCATCTTTCGCCTACGTCTTGTGGCATCTCCCATCGGCCCTCTCTGTCCTGGAAGAATACGTATAGAGCGATGACAGCAGAAACATGTGGCTGTACACCGGCCAGAAAATTGCTTTAGACAGGAGAGCCTTTTCTTTTCTAATTGACAAAAATTCTTTTGTCTTGGCTTGACTGTTGTGAGCCCTTAGGGCATTGCATTGGACGCAACAGATCAGTACGATGAGAGCGAGCGTTCAAACTTGAGTTCCTGTAGCTTAAGCGCGCTGGGCCGTTACGATGAACCTATGATAGCAAGCTTTGACAGCCCTTAGGGACGAATAGACGCATGCAGTCTCACAGAAATTGACTCCCACACAGAAATCTTCTTGAGGTTGAATGTTATATTTGACTTATATTTGACAAAAGACCAGCACATTTTGCTTCTTGTAGGTTTGCCATGTATGTACAGTGGAATGAACCATAAGATTCATTCCCGGTTTGTGAAATTTGTACACGAATTTGAAAATGTAGAACCCTTTCTCCTTACATGCCATCAGCAATCATGGCGTTGATGATCTTTACGTGACGGTCCGCGTTTGTCTCGCTCCATTCGGTGTCGTAGTTGAGCCCATACGGCCAAAAATGCGAGCCGCCACAGCTGATCTTGGCACTGGAGCCATCCCAGGAGCGAAGCAGGGGCAGTGCCGTAGCCCAGTCGCCGGACGAGCATTTGGAGTCAAAGGCGGCAGTCTGACCAACGCCGAGTGTGTGTGAGATCTCGTGGAGCGCCGTACGCTCGTTCATGTACGATCGGTTCGATCCGAAACGGAGATCACCGTTGTAGTTGGCCTCGGCGGTAGGAACGCCGGGCGTGTAGTAGACACGGATCGTCTTGCTGGCCTTTCCCTGCTTTGCGTGTCTTGCGACGGCCAGCTTCATGGCGGCTTCGATCTTGGTGTATGCATCGCTTTGGTCGGCCGTGGGGTTGGCGGCCTTCTCAAGCGTCCAGGTGATGGCGCCTTGAGCGGCAGAGGCGGAGGCCACGATAACGGCAAGGAGTGACAACTTCATGTTTGCAGAAAGAGTGAATGTATATTTGTGAGATTAGAGTATTGGATGCTGATGATGATCTTTCGATATCTTCCGTGTCTTCGCCTTCGACCAACTCCCTTCTTATACTACAAGAACACCACCATCCAGGAAGTTGCTCCGGCCCCTTGCCCAAGCGAGTTGGAAATTAAGGATATATGTTGCAAGAAGATCGTGCCTATTCTAACTCGGTCTCGCGCAGCAGGCCCTCTAACTCCCTTGTAGTAGCATCCTCATCCTTGCGATAGCGCGGCCAAGAGGTTAGGGGTTGCATCACGGCGCCACGGCGCCGTCGCTCCGTTTCTTGATGTTTCAAGTACAGTGAGCTGCTGCAATAAAGTCGAGGCATGCGCACCTATGAAAAGACTCAGAAAAGAAGCTTGTTTGAAACGTTGCACCGTTGAATCTAGGTGTAACTCGCATGCGGCTAACGCATTGCTCGGATGGCAGTTCTCGTGACTTGCTTAAAGTGCCATCCAATGTTTGCTGATCTGCTACGACGTCGGGGTTCATGCTATGTATCCTCATTGCTTCGTATTAGGTAAACCGTTTGGTGCAGCTGTTCAGGAGAAGCCCATAATAGTCGATCGTCCGCCGATGTTCTCCGATGGTCGAACCCATGTCAATATTCGGCAATGGTCACTAGGGGATACCATGTGCGGATGCTGAGAATGGAGACAGATGCCATTGGAAGACGGTAGAAATGCACCCACAGTCACGCTATTCCCTTTTGGTACTGGCGCTCCAGAAGGGACCTCGTTTAGCCGAAGGTCCGAGATAAATTTTTGGAGCCGGCGACGGGAAGCTTCTCCAATTCTACCACTCACTGCAACTTTTTACTTCATCTCCTTGGAGCGACACGTGTGATTCAAACCCGGCGACACCTTCAATACTTAGTTCTGTATTTCTTCTTTCTTACCTAGATACCCTCATAATAAGATTCAAGATGCAGCGCGCTCTTTCTTCCCGCGCGAGAGCTTCCGTCCTCTCTGCTGCTCCCAGCAAGTTCCGTGCCGGTGCCGGCCTGGGACAGCAGCTTCGCTTTGCCCACAAGGTTAGTCGACACGTCACGTACCATTGGCGATGCTATCAGCTTCATGATGCTAACCAATCCAACAGGAGCTGAAGTTCGGTGTTGAGGGTCGTGCCGCCCTGCTCGCTGGTGCCGATACTCTGGCCAAGGCCGTTGCGACAACACTTGGCCCCAAGGGTCGCAACGTCCTCATCGAGTCAAGCTATGGCTCCCCCAAGATCACAAAGGGTAAGGAAACATGCAATTGAGTTTGATTTCATCAATAACCTGACTGGTTTGTAGATGGTGTAACTGTCGCGAAGGCAATTACCCTCAAGGACAAGTTCGAGAACCTTGGCGCCCGCCTCATCCAGGACGTCGCCTCCAAGACCAACGAGACCGCCGGTGACGGTACCACCACCGCCACTGTCCTCGCCCGTTCCATCTTCTCCGAGACCGTCAAGAACGTCGCCGCTGGTTGCAACCCCATGGACCTGCGCCGTGGTATCCAGGCTGCCGTCGATGAGGTCGTCGCTTTCCTCCAGAAGAACAAGAGAGATATTTCCACCAGCGAGGAGGTTGCCCAGGTCGCCACCATCTCTGCCAACGGTGACCAGGAGGTCGGCAACCTGATTGCCAAGGCCATGGAGAAGGTCGGTAAGGAGGGTGTCATCACCGTCAAGGAGGGCAAGACTCTGGTCGACGAGCTCGAGGTTACCGAGGGTATGCGCTTCGACCGCGGCTTCGTCTCCCCCTACTTCATCACCGACGCCAAGTCTCAGAAGGTCGAGTTCGAGAAGCCCCTGATCCTCCTCTCCGAGAAGAAGATCTCTGCCGTCCAGGACATCATTCCCGCCCTTGAGGCCTCCACTCAGCTGAGACGTCCTCTCGTCATCATTGCCGAGGACATTGAGGGTGAGGCTCTCGCCGTCTGCATTCTCAACAAGCTCCGTGGTCAGCTCCAGGTTGCTGCCGTCAAGGCCCCCGGCTTCGGTGACAACCGCAAGTCCATCCTCGGTGACTTGGCTGTCCTCACCAACGGTACCGTCTTCAGCGAGGAGCTTGACATCAAGCTTGAGAAGGCCACCCCCGATATGCTCGGCTCCACCGGTTCCATCACCATCACCAAGGAGGACACCATCTTCCTGAACGGTGAGGGCGCCAAGGACGCCATCTCTCAGCGCTGCGAGCAGATCCGTGGCGTCATGAACGACCCCACTACCTCCGAGTACGAGAAGGAGAAGCTCCAGGAGCGTCTTGCCAAGCTCTCTGGTGGTGTTGCCGTCATCAAGGTCGGTGGCTCCTCCGAGGTTGAGGTCGGCGAGAAGAAGGACCGCTTCGTCGATGCCCTGAACGCCACCCGCGCTGCCGTTGAGGAGGGTATCCTGCCCGGTGGTGGTACCGCCCTTATCAAGGCCTCCGCCCTTGCTCTTAAGGATGTCAAGACCGCCAACTTCGACCAGCAGCTTGGTGTTACCATCGTCAAGAACGCCATCACCCGCCCTGCTCGTGCCATCGTCGAGAACGCTGGCCTTGAGGGCTCCGTCATCGTCGGTAAGCTCACCGATGAGTTCGCCAGCGAGTTCAACAAGGGCTTCGACTCCTCCAAGGGCGAGTACGTCGACATGATTGCCGCCGGTATCCTTGACCCCTTCAAGGTCGTCCGCACCGGTCTGGTTGATGCCAGCGGTGTCGCTTCCCTGCTCGGTACCACCGAGGTCGCCATTGTTGAGGCTCCCGAAGAGAAGGGACCTCCTCCTATGGGCGGTATGGGTGGTATGGGCGGAATGGGAGGCATGGGTGGTATGATGTAAAAACATGATCCATGATCAAAATGTCTTCTTGTATTAAAAAAAAAGTCAACTGGGCGAGGGGCATGGGCATTGGTGTTACTATTAAAAAGGATGTATAACTGCGGCCATTTGTACTAATCTCCCCTCTTTCCCCCTTTAACGCAGCAGTATCCCTGAGGGGACTTGAGAGCTCTGTATTGTACAATAGCACTAGCAAGTTATGTAAGATGAAGAAAGAAAGCAAAATGAGTTAAAGAACAACAAGACAAAGAGCAAATGCATGCATTGACTGGACTGGAGCTGTGCACGGTGTATTGACGTCGGTCGGTCGGTAGTTAACTGACAGCTCAGTGACAGCTTGAAGAATTGGGCCAGTGTGTCGGCCGCTACTTTCTAGTGGTAGAGTTCCTTGGCTTCTTCATGCTGACAAGTAATGTAGGCAACCGTAAAGTGCAGCCCGGTCCACGTCACGTAAACAGGCACCCATCATGTGTTTTTTGGTGATGACTTCCCGTGTTTATTTTGACCAAGCAACCAGAAGCTCGTCGCCCCTTGTAATGGGCTGTCCACCCAACAAGAGATTCCAAGTTCAGGCCCTGTCTGTTGACTGCCGCCTGGGGTGGGATTCGTCAACCTCCTGTGGCTGACGCAGATAGTCACGTGCTCCAATCTCACTTGGACAACAACCCCACCATGCGGGTGTTTTTCTCGCCCGCTTCCCCTCCACTGTGACCCAACTCCTCCGTTCCTGTCCAAGATACCTCATCACCCGAAAGCAAGCTGTTGCCTCTTTTTCTGCCACCACCCTCCGTGCAGCAAATCTCCCGGCCGAACCACTCGATTTCGAAGTAGGCACCCCCATTTTCCATTCTGCTTTGCAAGGCAAACAGTTTTAAATCATTCAATTTCCCTCCTGTTTTCTAGTTGCTAATCTGCTCTCAGCCCACTTTCCCGCCTCTTCTCCTAGCCACACCCCCGCCATAGACCAGCATCATGGTGAGTAACTAAAAGCTTCCAAGGATCAGCCGTCTACCAAAACACCATGCTAATCTCAATCGCAGTCTCAATCCGGGTTCGTAATCCCCTCTCTCGAAGAGCCTCATACCTCTGCGCCGACGAACCATTTGATGGGCGACTCTACCGCTCGTTCAATGACGATCCCGGCGGGGAGCAGGACAAGCTGGCTCCATCTACCACCTTAGCAAGGCGGCGCATGCTAACCCGATTTTCCCCACCAGAGCGCAAGTCTCTCAGGAGTGCATAACGGCCTACAACGAGCTCAAGCTCTCCAAGAAGTACAAGTACATCATCTACAAGCTCTCGGACGACAACAAGGAGATCGTCGTCGAGGAGGCCTCGGCCGATAAGGACTATGACAACTTCCGCGAGAAGCTGATCAACGCCCAGACCAAGTCCAAGAGCGTACGTTTCTCTGCTTCCCGCGACACAATGCTGCAGTTTAAAGACAATACTAATACTGCATCAGGGTGCTGTTGGCAAGGGCCCCCGCTACGCCGTCTACGACTTCGAGTACAGCCTTGCCTCTGGCGAGGGTGAGCGGTACGTTGCCCCGCATTCGCCCAACCTGGAACCTGCAGCTAATACCCCAACAGCAACAAGATTACCTTCCTCGCCTGGTCCCCCGATGATGCCGGTGTCATGGTCAGTAGCAGCCATTCTCGCAAAGCTCAATTGAATTTGTCGCTAACCTGCCCCAAAGGCCAAGATGGTTTACGCCTCCTCCAAGGAGGCCCTGAAGCGCTCGCTCACTGGTATTGCGACCGAGCTCCAGGCCAACGATGCCGACGACATCGAGTACGACTCCATTCTCAAGACCGTCAGCAAGGGCATGGCTGGTTAAATGTCTCTTTCCCCTCAAACACACCCATACCCTTCCTTACGCGGTGAGACGGAGCATACACTTTGGCGGCTGCAGTCTTCCGGGACGATTGACGACGATCATGGAGAGTTTACGATGAATATGGAGGGCCACTTTCTCCCCCTTGGCGATTTCGGGACCCAGACCTTTTTCCCACTCTGAGTTTCTTTTTTGGGGCGTGACAAGTAAATTTCCAGATTTGAACTGCCCGCCTGGTTATATCAACCCAGTGCCATAGGAAAACATCTCATGCCAGAATGCAGAGCATTCTTCTTGTTGCCCGAATGACGACGACGAAATCACTTCTTTATTAGACCATTACCTATGCTCAAGTCTTGTGCTTTGTGAATTCCTGCGTTATGACTTCTTCTGCGCATGCCAGGTTGAGCGCCACATCCCTGACAGCTCCTCTGCCTTTTGCTCGTGCTTGAGCCTCTGCAACAAGAAGCCCTTGAGATCGCTCCAGAATTCGTCCGTGTCCAATGCCGCCTCTCCGATGTCCTCCTCTGTAGTATTGGGCGCAACCGCAGCGCTAGGCTCAGGCTTGACTGCAGCAGCTCCTCCAATAACCATGACGGAGAACTCGAGGGATGCCTGACCATCCGTAAGCAAGTCCTTCAGCACCTTGCTATCTGGCACCGGCTTCTTGTTGAATAACAGCTTCATCTTGTCCACAGGTATCCGTGACTCCGCCTCGACCGCCGTCTTGATGTCGAGGATGGAGGTGTTGAGCGACTGGGAGGACAGCTTGATATCCAGGGGAGGGTTGCGCAGGGACTTGAGGGTGACGTTGACGCTGCGCTCCTGGCCTGGCGCAAGGTTCGAGGGCTTGCTCATGGCCTTGGGCATCTTGGGCAGGATGTACTTCAAGGTGTTAGCTATCCATAGCTACAAACGCTTCACTGGTAGGGATAAGGCTTACGGGAGGGCGAGCCGGGAAGTTCTTGGGGTCCTCGACATGGTCGGCGGACAGCTTCGCTGGGCGCGACTCCAAGGTCGCCAGGAACTGTCTTGCGAATACGACTTCAGCCATGGTTGCGATATGTTAAGCTATGTGGCGCGGTTTCGGGAAGTTTGCCTGGTCGGGGTTGCTAAAGTCGTTGGTTTGAGTTCAGGAGCTATAGGTTGGGTGAGATATAGGGAAGGACTGTCTGCGAAGGCTTAATTACTAGATGATCGGCTGGAGGGTAAGGCGTTGCAAATGACTTCGTCCGGTGTTCTGGTGTGCTGCCCGCTCTGCTCAGGTAGAGTTGACGCACTGAAGAGGGATGGCGGGGCGGACTGAGCTGGAGTGTGGAGCTTCGATCGCTCGTCTGGGCGGCGTGGCTTTATCGCCCAATCTTATCGGTGCTGGTCAGTGCGCGATAGGAAAAAGTTTCGGTGGGGGGACCGCTTCTGATCCAAGTGCAGGAACTTTTTTTTTCTTCTGAGCAGTGTAGCGGCGACCGACTTTGAACCAGGCGGTACCGTATATCTCGAATTTTCTACTTCTTCGATACCCTTTTTCCTCCACCCCAAATACCCAAGTTTCGATACGAATTGATTGATCAAAATGGGTGTCGGAAACCGTATGAAGAAGCAGGGTGCGCCCGAACCCTTGTCCGAGGCGCATTTCGCAAAGTTGAAGCGCAAGGCCGGTCTGCCAGTCGAACCCGTCGAGGCCCCCGAGGTCAAAAGGAGGAGAAGAGGAGCGGCGCCCAAGGCCAATGCCGCCGCAGCGAAGAAGCAGGATGCGAAGAAGAGCAACGGCGTCAAGGCTGGAAAGCCTGCGCCCAAGGCCGCCAACGGCAGAGGAAAGAAGGCTCCCCAGCCCGTCGACTCGGACGAAGAAATGTCAGACGACGACGATGCCGGCGACTTTGCTGGTGCCCCTTCCGACATGAGCGACGATGATGACGAGGTTGACGAGTTCTCCGACCTGGAGGCCGCGGAGAAGCTGGGAGACGACTTCATAGATGGTTCTGACGACGATTCCGTCTACGATTCAGAAGAGGAGCGTGGTGGCGGTGGAAAGCACATGTTCTCAGAGGACGAAGACGACTCGGACGGCGAGGAGATGCTCACAAAGGCCAACATTGAGGGTCTCGCACGGAGACTCGACCAGAAGCAGGCCGAGGAGGACGCCGACGCGCAGGCCGAACTCGAGGAGATGGGCATGCAAACCAACATTGACGGCGACAAGCCGCACATCCTCGAAGACGACTCGGACGACGAGCTCGCCGCCAAGACCAAGACGCTCCTCGCGCCCGACCTGCAGCTCCTGAGAACGAGAATCACGGAAAACATTAGAGTGCTCGACGACTTTGCAAAGCTCCACGAGGACGGCCGCTCCCGCACAGAGTACGTCTCCCAGCTCATCAAGGACATTTGCGCCTACTACGGCTACTCCGAGTACCTCGCCGAGAAGCTCTTCTCCCTCTTCTCCCCTCGCGAGGCGTTCGCCTTCTTCGAGGCCAACGAGTCGGCCCGCCCCGTCGTCATCCGCACAAACACCCTCCGCACCCACCGCAGAGACCTCGCCCAGGCCCTCATCGGCCGCGGCGTCACCCTCGAGCCCGTCGGCAAGTGGTCCAAGGTCGGTCTTCAGATCTTTGAGAGCAATGTGCCCCTCGGTGCCACGCCCGAGTACCTGGCCGGCTACTACATCCTCCAGGCCGCTTCGTCTTTCTTGCCCGTCATGGCCCTCGAGCCGCAGGAGAACGAGCGCGTGCTGGATATGGCCGCCGCCCCCGGCGGTAAGACGACGCACATGGCCGCCATGATGAAGAACACGGGCGTCATCGTCGCCAACGATCCCAGCAAGCAGCGTGCCAAGGGTCTCATTGGTAACATCCACCGCCTCGGCGCCCGCAACGTCGTCGTCTCAAACTACGACGCCAGGGAGTTCCCCAAGCCCATGGGCGGTTTCGACCGTGTCCTGCTCGATGCCCCTTGCTCCGGTACCGGTGTCATTGCAAAGGATGCCAGCGTCAAGACCAACAAGACGGAGAGGGATTTCATGCTGCTGCCGCACATGCAGAAGCAGCTTATCCTCGCCGCCATTGACTCTGTCAACCACCATAGCAAGACGGGCGGTTACATTGTCTACTCTACCTGTTCCGTCACAGTCGAGGAGAAGTAAGCATATCCACATCTCTTTAACGATTGTCTCCATTATACTAATAAATCCACAGCGAGTCCGTCGTAGCATACGCCCTCTCCCGCCGCCCCAACGTCAAGCTCGTCGACACCAACCTCCCCTTCGGTCGCGAGGGCTTCACCTCCTACATGGGCAAGAAATTCGATCCCTCCCTCAAGCTCACCCGCCGCTACTACCCGCACACCTACAACGTCGACGGCTTCTTCGTCGCCAAATTCCAAAAGATTGGCCCCACCCCCGCAAAGGCCGAACGGGACCGCTCCGCCTCCTCCCTCGGCGAGGTCGTCGACAAGACCCCCATCACCACCGACGACGAGTCCAACGCCGGCGGCAAGACGGACGACGACTTTGGCGGTTTCGACGACGACGAGGACGAAGAGTACGTCCTCAAGGCCAAGCGCAACGCCATGCGCAGACGCGGTCTCGACCCCAACGCCCTCTCCGCCAAGGCGAAGAAGGCCGCCTCCGACGCCAAGAAGGAGTCTACTGCCCCTGCCTCTGCTTCTGCTTCCGAGGCCGAGGCCAGTGAGAGCGCCGCCGAGACCGACAAGTCCGCAGCCGAGAAGACGCCCGAGAAGAAGGACAAGAGCAAGCAAAAGGCCGCCGCGGCCGACAAGGAGAAGAAGGCCGAGAGGAATCCGGCGCAGAAGAAGGTGACGTCCACCACGGCCGCGCCGGAAAAGAGCCCCAAGAGCAAGAGCCCCAAGCAAAAGAAGGAGAAGTCTGCGAAATAAGAAAGACATTGATGTCAAAAGGAAAAAGGGATGAACTGATATGAGGGTTGGGATCTTTTTGAAGTGTATCTTGTGTAGTAGACAAAGAAGCATCTTGGCAAGGGTTGATGTCGAAGACGAACCCTGCGTTGTCGTTGTTGTTGATGTTGTTAGGGTTGTTGCATTATAATTACCTATTACTACTAAAGGGAGTCGGAGCTCAAAAAGGGTTTCGGGAAATAAAAAAAAGTATCGAACGAAAATATTAAACAGTGAAGAGGTTGTTGACATGGTCGTCGCTGTCGCCGTCATCTGTTGTGACCGTCGTTTGCTATCGCCGAATGAGGAAAAAGCCTTTCACGTCCACGTCAAGAAAGAATTATCCAGCCAGCTGGCCACGAAAAGAATTGAGAAAAAAAAATTGGGTTTTTGCTAATCCAATACGCCGAAGCCAAAAAAAGTGAATCTAAGCAGAGCTTTTCATCAACGTCTCTCTCATCATCAAAAAAGATAAATGACAGACACACCAACCAATCCTTGACCACCTTCGCAGGCGAAGAAAGGCTAACCACCCTCAACCTCCTCCAAACAGCATCGTAAAGATGAAAAAAGCATTGTACAAAAGTGCAAACGTCAAAGCAATCCTTTTTCCTCCACTATGGTCATAAACCCTCTTATCCAGCTCGGGTCTGGATGGTATCGAGTCCCAAATCCCAAATCATCTGTCTGTTGTCATAAAGTCGGCGTGCCATTTCCTCTGCCAGACCTCTTTTCGTCGTAAAAGCCGTATGTCATGAATCCTATTCAAGACTTTTTGTAGGAGTATGTTGTACACAAAGAAGAATCCAGAAAGTCGTCACTGGAATCGTCGTAAATGTTGTTCGTCGTAATCCTTCTCCCAAAACGCCTCGTTCGTAGCTCACCCTGTCGTTCGCCATGACGCCAGGGGTATTAAAATAATTATGTATGAAGAAAAAAGCATGATATGCCACCCAAAGTAGAATGCTGTTGGTGAGGTGAGGTCTACTGGGCAGCCCTCTGATGAAGTAGGATGTCACGGATCGCCCATCTCGCAGCTTCGCGGTCTCGGTCACCGACACCGAGCCACTTCTCGCATTTCTTTCGCCACCGGTCTTCTTCTTCGCGCTGTCTCCGGACGAACTCAGGACCGACATCGAATTCTTCCCCGACGAGCCACTCGTCCTTGACTTCGCTGACGCGACCGGGTTCCTTGGAGTCGCCTGGGTTGTCATCGAGATCGGGAATGTCCTTGAAGACGTCCTCATCATCGTCCAAAGCATTGAAGCCGTCCATGGGGTCGGGTATCTCAGACTTGGTATTCGTCTGCGGACCGAGCTTGAGCCAGCACATGTTCTGTGGGTCGAAGACCATGCCGCCCACAACCTGCACGCCCTTCGTGTGGCTTATGTTCGTGATCAGAGCCGGCCGAGGCGTAGAGGAAGATTCTTTATCTCGCACCACGTGTGGCGGCATCGATGTTGGCGATGGGGACGATGCGGGTGGGTCGAACGCGTTCAAGACATTTTCGTTGCCTTCCCAACGGTAGGTGTCGGGGTTGTAGAACATGCCCTGAAGATCTACAGGGTTGTTAGTATAACGTTATGCAATTCTTTGAGCTAGTGCACTTACGTTGCGGAGTCTTGTCCTTATTCATGTTGGAAATTAGATGAGGCTTCAATTGAGGAAGGTTCCTCTTCTTTTTCGACCGCACCGTCGCCTGTGGTAGTCCGGGATTGAAATTGTTCCTGGACGACAGCTGGGAAACGCGCGACGAGGTGAGAGGCGCCAGTGGGCCTGATGGAGCTCGTTGAGCAAGCGAGGTCTCCCGAGCAATTCGGCTAGCCTGGGTATCGCGGGCGAAATGGGGCGTGTAATCACCCTTCGCAGGGGAGTAAGGAGCCGGGGAGGGCGTAGTGGTCCGATCAGGAAGCACATTTTGGTAGAGCTTGTTGCGGAGCGGTGCCTTGACAGGTTGTCGGACAAATTTTGCCTCTGAATGGGCTGAAGTAGGCAAGTCGTCGAATCCATCTAGCTCATGCCCATCACCAAAGTTCCGAGTTCGGTTTGGCTTGGTGAGGGTACGGAATGATAAACCGTCGCGGGTGATGTGGTCCGAATGACGATTATTTCTCTTCGGACTCGGCGACCTCATTGTCGACCTGGAAAACGCCCTCGAGGTCGGCCGCAAGTCTAGAGCGTTCTCAGAATCGTGGCGGCGGAAGCTGCGAGAAGTTTTTGCAGTCACGTGCTGCGACTGGGATTGTGAGGCCCCAGCTGGGAGAAAGGGGCGTCGTTGCTGGGCAGCGAAGCTTTCCACAGCGGGTCGAGATCTCTCAGTAGGAGTCTTGGGCCGCATTGAGGAAGGCGGACGGCCATCTGTCCTAGACGGTGGCCGTTCAAACCGGGACATTGTCTTTGCCGGTGAGTGAGAGCTGCTCATTGCAGGAAGAGATCGCTTAAATCTCAGCAACTGCGTGCTAGTGGTCGTCGGCTCATTACGCAGTGACGTCGTCGAGGTTCTAGCACCAAGCTCTCGCCTGCGTGGAGTGGATGGAAGCAGGGAGCTCGAAGGGGATGGTGTTGTGGGAGTCGGCATGCTATGAATGCTCGTGACGGAAGACTGAGACTGGTGACCCATTCGAGACTGAGATCTTCTCGTACGAGCAAAAATAGGACCACCACTCTCGGACACAGGCTCCAAGGCAGACTGAGTTCGCTCATGACGCTCATGACTAGGCCGAGGGAGCCGTGACGGAGTAGCCTTGTTGGTGAAGGTCAATGAGATTGCAGTCTTGGGCCTCTGGGGGCTCGGCGGGCGGTTTGCATTGACACGAATATTGCGATGGAGAGTAAGCTTTCCTGAATTGAAAACATCGCCATCACCCACGTCAAGGCCATCAAACATGTCTTCAGGCTCTGGCTCGCGGGGTTGAGGAGTCTTGAGGTTTGGAGGCTCTTCTTCGACGGGACGCACGGGAGAGCGACTGAGTTTCCTACGGCTCAATCTCTCGCCAAAGTTGACCGGGCCGCTGGGGAGTACGAGGCCATCAAACGTCTCATCTTCGCTCTCCGCGGTGAATGAGCTCGAAACGCTGGGGCTCATGGCGGAGACAGACGAGCTCCTATTCGAACGAGCGTCTCTTCGAGTGCCTCCGAATCGAGTACCAAGGCTACCCTCACCCCAGTCCAGATCATCTGCCTGGTTCGACGGCGTCTTTGGGATGTCCTTTCTAGTAGAGAGCCTCAACTTGCCATCTGAGGGCAATTCGAAGTCGTTCTCAAAATCATCGTCCAAAGGCTTGTCAATCTTCTGAGGGGTCGGTGGGGTGATAAGTGAAATGGGTTTCGGCGGGCGAGTCTTTGATACTTTGATAGTTTCTGATCCATCGCCAAAGAAATCGTCATCGTCGTCATCGTTGTCACGGAACTTTTCCAGGTTGAGAGCCCCTGATAATGTGCTCGTCCTTGATTCCGTCGACTCTCTCCGGTCCAGCATGGAAACCGCGGGAGGAGTCTTCATAGCTTTGGTCGGACTGGTCTGATTCGAGCCGCCGCTGACTTGTCGGAGAGCGTCGGGGAACCTGGAGCCGTCCTGAGGTTTGATGCGAAGGCCCTGAGCCGAGTCTGGAAGAACCAGATCATCCTCCCAGTCGTCCTGCATGATCTTCTTGATCTTTCGTCCACCAAGTCGTTTAATAGTACCGCCCATTAGAGCGGAAGAAGGTACATTTTTGGGTATCGGAATGCCGGCCTGTGTGGCAGCGGCGATGGCGTCGAGGGTCGACTTCTCGTCGTCGCCCGGGACATGCACGTGGGTCTCTTCGTCCAGGATAGATTCGAGGTCGGAACGGAGGGAAACATGTGAAGACGCAGAGTCGCGTCGTGCGGGAGGAAGGGTGGTAGCGGTAGAGGCGGTGCGGAATGTCAGATCGTCGGTGTCGATTTGGAAATCGTCATCGTCCCAGTCTTCGATGTCGGGTTCCGCCGCGGGCTGGCGTGGCTTGAGGCGTAAAGGTTCCATGTTTTGGGTAGGTTTCTTTGTTTGGGGGAGCGCAGAATTGAATTGGGTCCGAGAAGGCCGTGGTCGTATCGCAAAAGACTTCCCGACAGCGCTTTTCTGCTTGTCAATGTTGCAAGATCATATCGTCAACAATAACAGCAGCCCCGGCCCGGCATAACCTTGAGGAGGCGGAGATAGCGGTCGCAAGCGATATTGTTTGGCAGTATTTAGGCGTCGCGGGGGGCGCAAAAAGATTTGTCGTGGTGGTGTTTGGGCGTAGAAATGGCGGCGTGGATTGTTTTGAGTCGAGTAAAGTATCGTCGTTTCCGGGAATGTGCGTGGTAGTGTGGGAAATAGTGTCTGTCGGCTGCTGGTAGGTTGAACTGCGAGAGATGCAAACAGGTGCAGAGGCAAAGGCAGAGCAAGTGGAGGTGATGCAAAGAAAGTTCGTCGTAAGGGGTGATTGCGCAAGAGGAACAGGAACAGGGTCCAAAGATGTCGAGCGTGACGTTTGTCGAGGGTTGTGCTGGAGTAGAATGAGATCAGGGCAGTCGTGAGTGTCGGGGGGGAGAGACTGGATTTGCCCTTCTTGTTGGATGAGATGTAGCAAAAATGGCTGGGAAGCTGGGGTTGATGGATCGGGCCTGGCAAACAAAGCGAGGTGGTAGGTCGGCCAGATGGTGGGCTGGGTCCAGTACGAGTGGTGCGTGGGCAGAGCGTTGTGCAGCACAGCGCAACGTAGTGGGTGGTGTGGTGGACAGCTGGGTGGCTGGTATTGCGCGCAGGTGTGGGCAAACCCACTGAGCTACGTATCTTGTGAGGTGTTCCGCAGGCACGAGGGTGACAGAATTGGGCGTAGCAGGGACAGCCGGTGTGCGTGTGTTATACGATTCTCACGTTTCCCCCTTTTTCGCTAGGTTTGGTTCTCTTGTCTTTTCTTCTTCTTCTTAAGCTTGATTGAGAATCCACTATCGTCTTTTCCTAGTCTCTCTGAGTATTGGGACAACAGGAAGGGAGTAAATAATAAGGCCGGCAGGGACGGTAAGAGGAAAAGAGTGGGAGAGAGAGAGAGAGAGAAAAAGCCGATCTAGACAAGCTGGGTCCGTTCTTTTTCTGCGGGACAGGCAGAGTCATGCTCCGGGTGGACAACAGACGGGGGAAAAGAACAGGTGGGAGGCACGAAGGGTAGGTACGAAGTACAGACCGGGGGTCCAGGGCTCTCCAGTGAATCATAATTTTTTCCCAGGATGAGCCACGTGATTGAGCGGGGACATCAGATGGTACATTGATTGGACGACGACCATCTGCATGCGGGGACGGTTGCACTTGCACGATTCTGACGCGTTGGAGGCGCGACAGCCCTTCCCACCCGTCGTCGTTTCAATTGAGCCCAGCCAACGGCGAATGCAGCAGCGAGAGGCTGGCAGCTCAGGGAGAAAATGGAGGCATTAGGCTATAATTAGTGCTGCCTGCCTTTTCTAACGATTTTTAAATCAAGGGCAAAAAAAAGAAGTTATCGAGAGTCTATGGGATCCCAGGGCGAAGGAATATTGAACCGTGCTTGCTCTCTCTTTCTCTCTCTCTCTCTCTCTCTCTCTTCTCCGGTTCATCCCAAGGGCAATACCTTTAGGTCCAAACACAGAGCCGTCGTCTCCGTAGCTTCCTGTTTATTTGTTGACAGCACCAGACCTCACCCAAAGTAAGGAAAGTACAAGCACCAAAACACTTGCTGACTGACTACCTTCCTTGCCTTACTTTCTTTCCCGTTCTCCGTGCCCTCCCACGACCTCCGTACCTCCTTCCCGAAAGTCTCAGTAGCACGAGTATCCGTACCTAGGTACCGCCTTAAGGCCAAGGCTGCCTGAGGCGTTGCTCAGTCCCCCTTCTGCTGCCTGTCTGAGCGCCATAGTTGCCTAGCGTTCTCGACCCCAGGACCCCTCGAGGACCCTCACGGTCCAGATGAAGCCACACTCACTTCACTGTATTTAATCAACAAACTACCAACTTTGGAAATCCAGTCTCAGTCTCACTCTCCCGGACTGCTCTGTCTCAACCTCCATCCAACCAGGAGTTCCCCTCGAGACACAGTAGTTGCAATTTAGATTCCAACCCTGAGAACCAAATACTTACGCACTTACTGAAACTTTTCGACTACAGTCCCGACCAACTCTCGGACCTTACACCGGGTTGCAACTGCCACTTACATCGAACCTTCAGCTCATTCCCGTGGCACGCAAGGGGCAAACCAACCGATTCTCTCATCAAGTTTATGTCGATTTAGTTTACCTAGTCATGGCATCCGGCCACGTTCTCCGATTTCCCCGGTCAGACAGTGAAGGCGCTTTTGTCATCGTCCAGGCCACGCCCACTAGGTCAAAGGCACTAGATGTCAAGTTGGTGGGGACAGATGGCGTGGAGCCATACGCCGTTTCTCGTGAGTTTCCAACTTCCAAGTTCCAAACGCTCGTCATCCCGCCTTCCTGGCCGACGATCACCGCGGCCCGGGCGAGTGGGGTCTTGGCCGACACCTGTTTCATGCGCCGAACTCATCCACCTCATCTTATACGCAAATTTGGGAAAAAAGCTAATGGTAGGGTTTCCCTGGCAGTGCGGCACGACAAAGTCGCATCACTACGCGTCAAGAACAGTCCAGTGTCTGAGGAAGAATGGGTCACTATCCTGACTGCGGTCTTGCACCAAGAACCGGCCGAGGACGTTGAGGCAATTGCCTCTGTGGAAAACGAGTCAGTTCTCACCCTGACAATTCGGAAAAAGGGGAATGAGTTCACAGTAAGTTTTTCTTCGTTCCAGCCTTTTACCTACCTTCGGGATGGGTGGCCGGGCTGGGCTGACGGGCTGGGTAATTTAGCAACGGCTCGGCGCCATCGAGTTGAGCCACAGCCCACGCGAGCTCATTGAGCTATTCGACTGGTGTGCGCTCTCGGCGCAGACAGCCAATGAGGCCAAGGAAGCTCTAGCTTCGACGACTGCGAAGGCAAGCAAGCTCGAAGAATCTGTGCGGGAGCTCAAAGCTCAACTCGACGAGCTAGTCGCGGCCAAGGAGGCTGACGAGTCGGAACTGCTCGAAAAGTTCCGCGACCTACTCAACGAGAAGAAGGTCAAGATCCGCCAGCAGCAGAAGCTACTCGCGTCTGCATCCGTCGAGCCGGAGAAGCTAGTGCAGGTACAGCAGAGCTCCCAGGCCGCGGTAAGAGGCCATGCGGCCGCCAAGTCGAGGCCGGGCAAGAGGAAGACCGCTCCCGCACCTGTCGATGATGCTGATTCGTCAGAGGAAAGCGATGGCAAAATGGAAGTTGATGAGGTGAAGGAGCAGGCTGCAGACCTGTCAGATCAACAGCGTGACACGACTGAGGACGAGGACGAGACAGCTAGTGAAGATGACGACGAAGAACCGGCAGCACCAGCGCCCAGTAAGCACACACGGTCTCAAGTATCACCACCATCCAAGCCAAAGGCCGCTGCCGCGCCCGCGAAAAAGGAGGCGCCTCCTGCGAAGAGGGAATTGCCTTTTGCAAGAAAGAAAGCAGCTCCCAAAGCACCCCCGCCGCCCGCTGGCAGCGAGACGGAGTCAGATGATGAATTATGAGTTGACGAACACGGAAACGAATAAAACGAGATAACTTTACATCAAGTCTTGTAACGTTCATTCCATGCCAATGTGCCTTGTAGGCGTGAGAAGTCGGACTTGCACACAGACATCACTATCGGGACGATTTCCGTAATTACTGATTACAACTAACACTACTAAATACGCCCTTGGTTACAGTGAGCGGTGGCGGACCCTGAACTTTGTCATACTCATCGGGTATCATCAGCGTCGAACTTGTTCTTCCAGAACCCACGAACGTGCTTGGTCTTGCCAGCCTCGGCAATCTCGCTCACCTCGCGGGGGGTAAGCTTGATGGCGGGGATATGGTTCAGGTAGCTCTGGAGTCTCTCCTCCTTGGAAGAGGTGGTGATGACAATCAGACCCTGATCGATGCACCAGCGGAGTCCAATGACAGAGTCGCTCACGCCGTACTTCTTGGACAAGTTGGCCCAGATAGTCCTGACGGGCGAGTCGACGTCCGAAGTAATGGGTGTCAGCGGAGCGTAGACAGACACGGCAATGTTGTTCTTGCGGTGGAATTCCAGCAAATCGCCGTGCTGCAGGTGAGGGTGAAACTCGATCTGGTTAATAGCAGGCTGGACCTTTGCCGTCTTCAAAATGGCCTCGATCTGAGGCTGCAAGAAGTTGGAGAGCCCGATGCTCTTGGCGCGGCCGCTGGCCTGGATGGCCTCGAGATCCGCCCACTTTTGCTGCAGCTCCTCGTCCGAGTCGGCGAAGAAGGGCGCGTGGATGAGGTAGAGGTCCACGTACTCGAGGTCGAGCTTCTTCAGCGAGGTGGCGAAGGCTATCTCGGTGTCCTGCTTCTTGGTACCGCTGATTTTGGCGGTGACGTAGAGCTTCTCTCTTGGCACGCCGGCCTTTTTGATGGCTGCGCCGAGTTCTTCTTCGTTTCCGTATACTGTGGAATCTGTTAAAAGTGGTGATCTAAGAATGGGTGAGTGAGTGAGTGATATTGCACGTACCTTCGGCGCCATCGAGATGATGGTATCCGGCCTTGATCGCCATGACGGTGTTGTCGACGATCTTCTCGTCAAAGCTGGCCCCGCCAGCCTTGTAGTTGGCAGTACCCAGGCCATATCCGAGCTGCGGATACGTCAGTATGAGACGTTTCTTGGAGTAAGCTGGCCGCGATGCGGCGGTTTGTTATTTAAATTTGAGTTGGAATGCCGTAGGATCTGGTGCTGGATGCTGACATGCATTACCAAGCGGCAGATCCTCCCGCAGGAACGGGAATCTTTTTAAATTTGAACTCTCACTCACCATAGGGATCATCTTGCCATCATTGAGGGTAAGCCATGGAATATAATCCACCTGCTTGGGAGGAGTTCCTGAGGCATCGGGCGTGAAGGTCGACAGAATGGAGTTCATGGTGCGCTTTTGAAAATGTTGA